GGACCCTTCAGTCTGCAGGCCGACGCTCTATCCACTGAGCCACACATCTTTTCTTTTTTATTGATTTTTTGAGAAAATGAGAGAGATGAAGGGAGAGGGAAAAAGAGAGAAAGAGAGAGAAACATTGATTTGTTCCACTTATTTATGCATTCATTAGTTGATTCTTTTTAAAAATATATTTTGCCGAAACCGGTTTAGCTTAATAGATAGAGCGTCGGCTTGGGGACTGAAAGGTCCCGGGTTCGATTCCGGTCAAGGGCATGTACCTTGGTTGCGGGCATATCCCCAGTAAGGGGTGTGCAGGAGGCAGCTGATCAATGACTCTCTCTCATCGATGTTTCTAACTCTCTCTCTCTCTCCCTTCCTCTCTGCACAAAATCAATAAAATATATTTAAAAAAATAAAAATAGATTTTTATTGATTTCAGAGAGGAAGGGAGAGACAGAAACATCAATGATGAGAGAGAATCACGGATCGACTGCCTCCTGCACGCCCCACATTGATGATCGAGCCCGAAACCTGGGCATGTGCCCTGACCAGCAATCAAAGTGTGACCTCCTGGATCATAGGTCGACACTCAACCACTGAGCCATGCCAGCTGGGCCATTGGTTGATTCCTGTATGTGCCCTGATAGGGCATTGAGCCCACAAGCTTGGTGTATTGAGATGTCACTCTAACCAACTGAGCTACCTGGCCAGGTCCCACAGCCACATATCTGCTGTCTCATTTAATCCTCACAACAGCCCCCAAAGTGCATGATATTCTATTTTCCCATTCACAGCCAACTGGGAGAAGGGAAGGGAAGGCCAGCCTTGCCAAGGTCCCGAACACTGGGACTTATTCGACTCCCCAACTGGTACATGAACTAAAATGGTGGTTCTGCAGAAACCGGTTTGGCTCAGCGGATAGAGAGTCGGTCTGTGGACTGAAAGGTCCCGGGTTTGATTCCAGTCAAGGGCATGTACCTTGGTTTCAGGCACATTCCCAGTAGTGGGTGTGCAAGAGGCAGCTGGTCGATGTTTCTCTCTCATCGATGTTTCTCTCTAGCCCTCTCTTTTCCTCTCTGTAAAAAAAAATCAATGAAATATATATTAAAAAAAAACAATAAAATAAATAAAAAATATTTTTAAAATTGATTTCCGAGAAGAAGGGAGAGGGAAAGAGAGAGAAACATCAATGATGAGAATCACTGATCAGCTGCCTCTCTCAGGCCTATAACCCGGGCATGTGCCCTTGATTGGAATTGAACCTGGGACCCTTCAGTCCGCAAGTTGACGCTCTATCCACTGAACCAAGCAAGCTAGGGCTCTATACACAGTGCAGACTTGGCTCTTTCTCTCCTGCCCTGACATGTAAAGTTCAGGACCATAAACACAGCGGGCAATGGAGGCTGGGTGATGGATGTGCTGCTTCACTCGAGAGCAGTGGTCGGCAAACTGTGGCTCCGTTTGCCACTCTGTTGACTAATGAATTTGCCGACCACTGCTCTCGAGCTAGAAACCTGGGACAGAGTGGTGCCCCTAGCCTGCCCTCACCTTCTCTTTCCAACTCCTCCTCATCCAGGGTCTCCTCTTCCTCCTCTTCCTCCAATTCCTCCTCTTCCTCCAGGGTGAAAGACAGGCTGGAGATCTTCCTCTTGGCCTCCTTCTTGCGCTCCTTCTCTCGCAGCTTCTCCAGCTTCCTGCGAGGCATGGATAGCCATCATCACCACATCCTCACCCGAGGCCCCCTCTATGGACCAGAGCCACTTATGGGCTCAGGGTAGGCCCATGGGGTACAGACCCTGAGGAGTCCTACTGCCCTGGGTCACTTCAAGTTCATGGGCAGTGCTCTGATTAGGACACAAGGGTCCCTGTTCAAGAGGCAGGGGCCAGCATGATCCAATTCCATGCACTAGCTTAGGGGTGTCGAACTCAATCAGAGAAGGGGCCAAAATCTAAAATCCAGCCTAAATCGCGGGCCGAATGGTTTACTGAACAGTCATAAACTGTCATTGTGATGGAAACGCAGCGGAGTGCAGTGATGACAGCGCGGTGCGGGCCACATTGTAAGGCCTGGCGGGACGGATTTGGCCCGCGGGCCTTGTGTTTGACACATGTGCACTAGCTACACCTTGGCGGGGGGCTGCCAGCACAGAGGACTCACAGCTGCAGCTCCTTTGACTGCTCCTTCTTGGCCAGCTGCTTCTCGCGTTCCTTCACCAGTGCCTCCTGCTTGGCCTTCATGTCATTCAGGGTCACCAGTCCTGCGAGGCCAGGAGACACGGGATTAAGGATCGGCCACCCAGAGCCAGTAAAACAACGGTTTTGGGTCCAGGAGAGGGTGACAGGCATGTGTTGCTTACCCACGGTACTAGACTTGAGCTCTGCCTCCACCGCATCGTAGTGCGCAGAGAACTTCTTGTCAATGTTGGATTTCATGATGTTCTCCTGTAAGGGAGGGAGAGCGGCAGTGAGGACCGCCCACCACACCATGGTGGAAGTGGGGACCTGGGTCTGCGTTCCAGCCCCAGATCTGCTCCTGGCCTATAGCGTGACCTTGGCAGAAACATGTCCCCACTCCCCAGTGGATGGAACTTTCCACAGGGCTGCGAGGGGCTCTCTCAGTGCTGAGGGAGCTACATGGGCTTGTTTTCCTGTGACCTCTGAGCTGCTCTGGCCCCTCCAGACCTCCCTTTGGGTACCAGAGTTCCCTCAGCACCCTAGATCCATGGGTTCTACCTGCCTTTTTTAAATTTAATTTTATTTTAAAATATATTTTATTGATATTTTTACAGAGAGGAAGGGAGAGGGATAGAGAGTTAGAAACATCGATGAGAGAGAATCACCGATCAGCTGCCTCTTGCACACCCCCTACCGGGGATGTGCCCGCAACCAAGGTACATGCCCTTGACCGGAATCGAACCCGGGACCTTTCAGTCCACAGACCGACGCTCTACCACTGAGCCAAACCGGTTTCGGCCCTTTTTTTTTAATTTTAGAGAGAGGGAGGGAAAGAGAGAGAGAAACATGGATTAGTTGCCTGCTGCATGTGCCCCGACCAGGAATCAAACCCTCAATCTAGGTATGTGCCCTGTCCAGGAATCGAACCCCCCACCTTTTGGTGTACAGGGCAATGCTCAAACCAACTGAGCCACACCAGCCAGGGCTATACCCAGCTTTAATATATATATATATATATATATATATATATATATATATATATATAAATGATTTCAGGGTAGAAATAGAGAAACATCAGTGATGAGAGAGAATCATTGATTGGCTGCCTCCTACACTCCCCACACTAGGGATCAAGCAACCTGGAATGTGCCCTGACCGTGAATGGAACCGTGACCTCCTGGTTCATAGGTCGATGCTCAACCACTGAGCTACACTGCCCGGGCAATACCCAGCTTTTAAGAAGAAGCTCTGGAGACCCAAGTCAAGGGGTGACAGGAGAGTGAGGAGTGGCCAAGAGACCTAGTCCCTCACTGAGCAATATGGCTCCCTCTTAGCTCCAGATGCTGTACCTCTGGCTGGCCAGAGTCAGCACTGAGTGGCATATGAACAGAGGCCTCAGCATAAGGGTTTTTGCTTGGGCCCGGCTTCCATGGTACATAGGTAGGAGCCTGCTTGCCCCTCATGTCCTGAATTCCAAAGGAAGAGTCTACTGCAAAGGCCCAAGGGGCGGGGGGGGGGGAGAACAACTCCTCCTTCCTGACACCCCACTCCTGAAGGCCTTTGGCACCTGCTAGCACCCCAGCATCAGTTGGACAAAGGTTGCAGGGCAAAGGGCTCTGGTGGGTTGGCCTGGACCTGCAGGGCCTGCCCTTCCTGGGATCCATTGGCTCAGGGCACAGACCTAACTGTCAGGGCACAGGAGCCAGAGCCAGGATGCTCTGTGCCTGCGAGGGGCTCCCCAATGTGACCAATATGAACCACTGCCTGTTGGAGGCTTGTCACAAGCAAGGTCGGCTCAGCTTTCTGGGCGCACTATACAGATGAGCTTCTAACCCTTGCCGGAGGTCAGCAAGCAAGGGTCTCCCTCCCGGGTTCGCCAGGGGCCTCAGGGAGCCGGGGGGCAGTGCGTAGCGCGCATGCTCTGTGGCGGCCCCGCCCAGCCCGCACCTCGGTGATCCGCTGCTTCATCTGCTCCATCTGCTCCCGCTGCTTCTCCCGCTTTTTCATCAGGTGCATGGCGCGGCCCGCCTCGCTCGCGGCGCCCTTGTACTGAGCCATTGTGGCAGCGGCAGCAGCGAAGACAGCGACAGTCGCCTGGCAAAGCCTCCGGCTGCCTGGCAATCAGCAGACGCCTGCGCGCTGTGACGTCGCCCAACACAGAACGCACGGGCGCCCCGCCACGCCCAGAGCAGCAGCGCCAGCCACCCCACCACGTGACCCCCGGAGGCCCACCCCCGCGCACACTCCCTAGGTTCCCAGTCGGTTCCCAGTCGGTTCCCAGTCGGTTCCCAGTCCGTTCCTCGACGTGAACCCCAGGCCCAAGGCTGGGTTTCCCGGTCCTACTTCCTCCTGTTTATCCCAAGGCTCAGCACCACCCCCAGCCCTCTGAGAACCCCACTTCTCTGATGATCTGGCCCAAGGCGACTCCCCCTTGCTGCCCAGGCAACCCATTTCCCCTGCTTCCACCTGTTCGACAGGCACCCAAGACTGGACCCCAATCCCCCATTTCCCTAGACCTGGGTCCCGTCTGCCTCCTCTTTCTTGACTGGGAGGCAAGGACCCTGCTCCTCTGCTTCAACCCTGCCTCAGGCCAGACCCCTTCCCAGGTCCTTTCACATTGACCCCCAGGTTTCTGTGACCCGTTTCCTCTGCGCAGGTGCCATCCGTCCAGGAGCTGTTTCATTCCCTGATGAAGACAGCGACCTGTTTGTAGCCATCTGGAGCCACCCTCAGCCAGAGTCCCAAACTCACGGGGACCGCATGCCACCCAGGAAAGCCGAGGCCCTACCCGGTGCCCAAGTGCCCAGTTTGGGGGAAATGACGCTGAAGACCTGGGCTCAGGTTTCCACACAGTTTTATTGGGAGGTTTTGTTTCCTGTGAAATACACTAGAGGTTGGGGAAGGGCACACATTCACTTTGAAAGATAGGGGTTTCCCACCACTAAGGGAAAGGGTGGGGGCAGGGCACACTGGGGGTCTAGATCCGTTTTCCCACCTCCTTCTGCTTTGCTCACATTTCTCTCGGGAACAAAGGACACAAATACAAAGACACAAACAAAAACAGCACGTCACCCTCCAACGGGGCCACGCCCAAGCCCTTCCCCATCCCAGGCCGCCCAGGGAGCCGGGGCTGCTCCACAGCCCGAGGCCGCCCCAGGACTGCAAGGCGGGGCCAGAACTCTCTTCTCAGACAGGGGAGGCGGAAGTTAATAAATTAGAATAAATTAACGGGGAGGGGAAGGGAGGGGAGGGATGAAGCTTTGTGCTGGGAGGGCCCCTTCTCTCCAACACACAAGAGGTGGTGGGGGGAGGCAGGGGGATCTCCAAAGGCCACTACAGTGGGAGTAAGAGCAGTGGGGGCAGAAGTCAGCTTTCCCTCCGTGTTCTTCCCGGACGGAACAGAAGAATTCGGGGTCGGAGGAAGAAACACAGACAAGGAGAGGAACCCTCTTTTCCCAGGATAAGGAAGGGCCAAGAAAGAGGATGCTAGCCACCCCCCCGCCCATCTCCCAAACCATCACTAAGATTAAGGATTTGGTCAGTGAATCAATGAGGTGGGTGACAGGAATGTAGTGGGGGAAGCAGAGGATGCTGGAAACGGGGGGAAGGGGGAGGGGGGTGCCCAGCCATGCCCGTCTCCCGAGCCCTGGAGGAGAACAGGGGAGGGGCATCTGGGGCCGGGGGAGGGTCAGCAATCACTGGTCAGCTTCTCCAAAGACATCGTTCTGTTTGCGCTTCATGTTCTCAAAGTCAAAGGCGGAGCCTGCCATACGCTTGTAGATGTCTTTGATGTCGTTGCAGGTTGTCTCAAAGTGTGTGGTGGCGTCATAGGAGCAGGAACAGAACACCTGAAAACAGCCAGAGCCGGGGCCCAGGGTGAGTTGGGTAGGGGCCCTGGGCAAGCAGCCAGGGGCTGGGGCCAGGACAGGCTGCTCACCTGGCTCTCAGAACCATCGTCGATGGGCTCGTACAAGTCACTGATGGCCACAAACCTGACGGGCAGATGGAGGGGAGGGGACAGGTCTCACCAACAGCCCTGCCCTCCACGGTACCCATCCCCTAGCCCCCCAGCTCCTCGGCTCCGTGTCCTCCCCGCCCCAGCCCCTCACTTCTGGTCAATGGGCTCCAGTAGCTCCAGGGCCGGCTCAACCTCCTTTTCGGGCTCCGAGGTCTCCACCGTGGTGCTGGCGATGGCGATGTACTTGCCCTGAGCAGCCACGTTGTGTGCGTAGGAGATCATGCACACGTAGATGTCTGTCCGCAGGAAACGCTCCATTAACGTGAGCACGCAAAGGGCTCTTGGGGGTTGGCTCACTTTGGGCCCGCCTGACCCTCCCCAGCTCCACACGGCAGGCAGCATCCAAGCTGCCACCTTCACGAAGGGGGAGAGTCCAAGCCCCCTGGTCCCTAGGGCCCCAGGTCATGAGGACTGTGATGCGGGTCTCTATTCTTCCGTGGAGGGATCAGGCAGAGTCACCCCAAAGACAACACCCTGGAGGAAGTCACGTGGAGCTTCGCCCACCTGACTTCCTGTTGACCTGGTTCTGGGGGATGATGATTTGGCAGGAGTTGGCATCGTTGGTGTTCTTGATGGGGTGGCTGAGGATGCAGATGATTCGGATAACCTGGCCAGCCTTCCGCACACGGTCTGGAATGTAGCTGGGGTCACAGATCAGCTGCTTGCATCGGGCCACCTGTGAAAGCACCAAAAGGCCTTGTCCCTACCCGACACTCCCCTCGGTGGTCATGGAGATGGGCCCACGGCTAGGGCTGGCAGCTCCTATGTAGCCACTGCCCCTCCTGTATGTAGCAAACAGCTTCATCCTGCGTCTCAGGGAAGTACGCCCGCGATGCCGAGCTGGGCGACCCCCTTTGCTGACACTGATCAGGAATACTCCCCAGACCACTGGCACGGCACATGGGCCTGGAGAGATACCTCTTGCCAACAGGGATGGCTATGTAGACTCCTGGCGCTCCAGTGCCCAACCCAAGGCCCCCAGAGCTGAGCAGCAGCAGACCCCGCAGAGCCAGGGTCACTGGGAAGAGAACCTCTAAGGAGAAGAACAGATTCCGCCCACGCCATCATGACTGCGCCACAGGGAAGCTTACCTCTCCCTCAGACTTCACACCCACCACCTTGCCATTCTCCATGATGATGTCATCCACAGGTTTGTTCAGCATATATGTCCCCCCATAGATGGCACTCAATCTATGGTGAAGAGAGTCATAGTGAGGACCCACCCAGAATACCCTGTAAACGGCTAGTGTTAAGGGTGGCATGGGGCCATAGCTCCCACGGAAGTGGTCTGAGGAACAAGTCTAAAGGCTCTGAGCAAGCCCTGACTCAAGGTTCCAAGGACCTCGGCCCAGTCCTCCCACCACCTGACGGGCAGGAGCCGAGCAAGCCCCATCTGCAGGGGCCTGCCCCTTCCACTCTGCACTTCAACACATTGCTGCGGCACCCTGGCACCCTGGCACCCAAGGAAGATGCAAAGTAAGTGAAGCCCAAGAGGGCAGAGTACAGGATGCCAGGAAAATGCTCAAGGGCCATTCCCATTCTTAGCCTTAGTCCTGTTCAATACTGCCAACTGAAAGAAGCTGTGGTCTCACCTTGCAAAGCCCTGAGGCAGCTCTCCAAGGCCATAGAGTGGGTATAAATATGGGCTCTTGCCATACCGGGCCAGGGACTCGCTGTACAACTTGATGCGGTTGATGGTCTCGAGACAAGGCTGGTCCAAGTAGCTGGGGGGAAGGGGCACAAGGTCAGAAGAAGAGACTCAATAGAACCCCCAGCTCACCCCCACCCAGGCACCAGGCTAGCATCCCCCGCCCTCATTGGCCTGGGGAAACTTAGGGGTTAAACACGGGGAAGGAATGGAAAAGCCAACAGGTGAGGGTGAGGCTGAGGACGGGAGATGTGCACACTGGACCGAAGGAGCAGTAGGCAGGGGTGGGGAGCAAGGCTCAGGCCAGGTGCGGTGCAGGGCGCCATGACAGCTTCCCCTCACTCATCGGTGCGGTAGAGCGCCAGGGCGTGGCCAGTGAAGTCAATGACGTCCTGGCCCAAGTCAAACTTCCGGTAGACTTCGCGCATGCTGGTGCTCTGGGGGTCGACGCCCTCAAAGGTCTTGGGGTCGTTCTCATCAAAGTTTGCCACAAACACCAGGAACTTGCGGAAGCGCCTTTTCTCAAACATCCCCATCAGATCTGCAGAGATGATGCGAGAAAAGCCTTCACATCACAGAACATAAAGCTCTCCTCCCCGCCAGGCAGGCCAAGGAAGCAGGGTCCGTAGCTCCCGGCTAAGTTATCTTGCTCACTGCCATGTGTCCTTCGAGGAACCCCTCTGCCCTTCTCAGCCTCAGTTTCCCATCTGGAAAGGCTGTGAGGGCCCTCCTGGCTCTGACACTGGAGGATGTTTCGCTGTTCAGGTGCAGCCCCTAACAAAAGCTGAATTCTGCCCAGCCAGTGTGGCTCGGTGTGGCTGAGCATGTACCTGTGAACCAGGAGGTCGTGGTTCGATTCCCGGTCAGGGCTTGATCTCCTGTTCGGGGTGGGGGGTGGCGTGTGCAGGAGGCAGCCAATCCATGATTACGATTCTCTCTCATCATTGCTATTTCTATCTCTCTCCGACATTTTTTTAAAAGGCTAAAGTCTTTCATGGAGTCCGCCCTCCACATCCCCCGTGTACACGGACTTCCCTCCTGGCAATCAGTGTGAGGGTCAGCCCAGGGCGGGAGAGAAAAGACAGAGCAAGGGACTTCTGGAATGTGACCTTGGGTGGTGGACGCCCTGTTCTGGATGGCTGCCCCCACCCCCAAGATCCCCTGGCTCAGGGGACCCGTACTCACTGGAAGCCAAGGCTTCGGTCTCAGTGGACGGCACTTTGTAGATCTTGCCCCCCTTGTAGACGAAGCTGCCTTCCACCACCTTGAAGTCCAAGTAGCGAGTCACTTCTGTGTATAGTAACATCTTTACCAGCTGCCCTGCAGGGTGCGGAAGGAAAGGCAACAGTATCAACATGGCTCCCTCAACAGCTCTAGCTGCCCCTCCTTTGGAGCCTGAGCCCTCTCTGGTTGTCCCAGTCACACACACACACACCCCCGCAATACGTCCTGCGTCTCCCTCACCATTGGCCATGAGGAATTTGGGGATCAGATCAACATTCCAGTCTCGGCCCCGGCCCATCGACTCCGGTGGCCCCTCCAGCAACTGAAAACGCTTATACAGCTGTAAGCAGGGAGGAGAGAAAGAGAGGCACCTCTAAGACCACCCCTCCCGCCCCCGCCCCTCCTGCCCAGAAACCCTAAGGAGCCGCCGCAGCACTCTAAGCAAGAGGGTAGCAAGGGATGGGCCCGGGCTCGGCGGCCTCACCTCCTCCAGGGGTGTGATGGAGGAGCTCTCGCCCCCATAGTAGGGGTTCCGGTCCATATGCAGCACCTTCTTCCCATTCACAGACATGATGCCTGACAGGATGCATTCCTGCACAAGGGATGGCATTGGCTGCACTCCCACCTGCCCCCATTCCCACCAGCAGCCCTTACTGGTTCCCCACCCCAAATGGGAGAGGACGGCAAAGCTAGAAAGACTCCACACCAATGGACAGCTCCTTTCACCATCACCACCACCACCACCATCACCATCACCACCACCACCACCACCACCACCACCACCACCCCCTGCTGGCCGAGTGGCCTAAAATGAGGGGGCAATGGTTTGAGCTGACCACAGTCTCCTTTATAACCTTGCAGGGCAGAGAGAGAAAGAAATAATGGGAGCAGAGCAGGAGAGGGGAGCCAGCAGGCACACGGATGAGCTATTCAGCAACTCCCACACCGAGAGAGGCATCTAGCTACACCAGCTCTCTACCCAGAGCTGCAAGAAAAGACAGGTGAGATACAATGAGCCACAGGGGAGACCCAGCTGGATGGACCCCCGGAAGGGAAGGGAAGGGAAGAAAGGCTTAGCAAGATCCAGGAATCGCAGACCCCACCCTGGGCTGCTGGGTCCTCTGAGTGGCCCCTGACCTGGAGTCTTCCCCCCAGGGCAGCGGCTCCTGCGCCACCACCGAGGGAAATGTCTCTCTGAGGAGCAGCCCAACGGGGTTTGAGGGAAGGGGGGAGATAAACACCCCACCATTCACTGTCACTGTCACTAACCCAAAGACAAAGGCTGCCGACACTAGTCAGCCTGAGGTATCCATGGGAAACTGGAGGGGGGGGGGATAGAAGGAGTAGCGGGAATGTGGCCACTGCCCCCACAACTGCTCTTTCTGGAACATTCCCTGGGTCCCCAGGCCCCCTAAAAAGCCGAGAAGGCAAGATGAGGGTCCACCCTGGCCGAGGGCCCCTGACCAAGGTCCTTATATTTCATCCTCATCAGGATTAGCGCAAGATGAGAGAGGATGCTGAACGGGCCGGTGTCGGGGCGAGGGGCTCAGGGGGGTATAGGGCTGAGTGGGGGGTATAGGGCGGGGGCTCTGGGGAGTATAGGGTCGAGTCGGGGCGTAGGCTGGGATGGGGAGAGCAGAAGGGGCCGGCTGTCGGGGCCCGGCGAGTTTTAGGGGCAGGAAAAACGGGGGCCATTTCTTAGAGACGGAGCCACGGCAGTGGGTAGAGGCGACATCGCGGGGATGGGCACGGGGCTGTTTTTTTCGGGGACCAGAAAGCTAGCCGGGGCGGGCAGCGCCGCTGATGGCAGTGACAGGATGGGTCGGGGGCGGCAGCACTGCGGGGAGGATGGATGGGGCGATGCGGGGCTCGGGGCGCCCGGGGCCGCACTTACGGTGAGGCCGGTGCCCAGCACGATCACATCGTATTCTTCATCCATGGTCGGGCCTGGGTGCCAGCGCCGGGGGCTCCTCCTCCTGCTTCACCACCGCCGCCGCCGCTGCCGCCGCACTGGACCAAAGATGGCGGCGCGACAGCCGGCCCCCCCCGCGATCCCTCCGCCGCGTCAAAGAGTCCGTCCCTCCCTGTGCGCCGCCGCGCACGGCGGGGGGGCCCCCGCCTCCCTGGGTCCCCTCCCGGGAGGGCTGCCGGGGCCCTGGCCTCTGCACCGGTGCGGGCTCCGCGGGCGGCGCCGCTCCCCGAAAGCCCCGGAGGGAGGGGAGCGGGGCGGGGCGGGCGGGGCTGCCGGCGGCGGTGCTGCGACCGGGGATGGGGATCCGTGCGCGGGAGCCGGGGCGCGGCCCCGCCCTGTGGGATGCTCAGCGCGGTCCAGCACACACCCCTGCTGCAGCCCGGGTCCCGGGGGACTGGAGGGCTGCCATTGTCACAGCTGTCATCTCCAGGCTCCGATCGCCCTGGCCCTTCCGAGCAGGTGCACTGCAGCCCCCTCTCTGCACTAGCTCCTCGGGGGTCCAGCTTGCTAAAGACCCTCTGCATCTTCCTCCCGAGCTCCTGCAGCCCTTCCCGCCCCCCCACCCCCCAAAACCCAACCTCATTTGGCTACAGCTACACCTGGGCGCCTCCCCGGAAGCCCTCAGCCAAGCACATCCCGCGTGTCCAGTGCAGAAATGAGCGACAGGAGGCCGAAGCACGGTGACCCATCTTTATTTTATTAGGAAGGAAACCCACCAAGCCTGCCAGAAACCCAGTGAGTGCGCCCAGCCCACCTGCCGGGTCCCTTCCTTCTCAGGCCACAAAGAATAAACCCGTGCGCTGCGTACGGGAAGCACATCACCAAAAACAACACTAGCCAAGCAGGACGGTTAAATGGTACTTTGACCCCACCCCACCCCCCAACTCAGGGAATATCCAGCTCCTGGCTGCTGCAGGGAACCCCACAAAGCACTGGCTACACAAAAGCACTATAAACAGCAAGGGCTGAAGGTGGAGATATGAAAATAAATAAGGAGAGAGGGGGGAAGTAAGAGAGGCTCTGGAATTCATGTCCCCTCCCTTTATAATCACCAATCCTTGGAGATTTGTCTACTATCTACGCAGAATATGTACACCTGTTGGTAGAGATGGGGGGCGGGGGGGGGCAGCCCGAGGGAAGCCCCTCACAGGGTTGAATAGGAGCAAAACAGGCTGAGGGGAGTTGGGGGTTCATGCTACGGTAGGAAGAGAAGGAAGTCCTTCGGTCCAGCATGCCTCGAGGTGAGAAAGTGACAACCTGGACACCATCACACCCATAACCCCCCGCGCGGGCACAGGGTCACACAATCTGGGTCAAAGTGATGGTGGGGCCCTTGTGATCGTCAAAGCGGTCCATGGTCTTGAGGCTGAGGATCATGTGCAGGCCGTAGGTGAAGATGAAGAGCATGAACAAGGAGGTGAGCAGCCCCATCCAGATGGCCGGGGAGAAGAAGCCCGCACAGTCAGTGGCGTAGGAGAACTGCTCGCCTGTCACGTTGAAGGCCTGGATCTGGGGGACAGAAAGGACCGCGTGGCCCCACGGAGAGGGAGGCCCAGTAAGGGCTGAGGTTCCCAAGTCAGTGGGAAGGAGCATCGTGGGGACAGGGCTCTCGACTACATTCCTGAGCCCAAGCCCAAAGGGTATCAACCTGGCGTGGCTCAGTGGTTGAGCATTGACCTATGAACCAGGAGGTCATGGTTCAATTCCCAGTCAAGGCACATGCCCAGGTTGCGGGCTCGATCCCCAGGGATGTGCGGGAGGCAGCCAATCAATGATTCTCTCTCATCATTCTCTCTCATCATTGATGTTTCATCTCTCTTTCTCTCCCTTCCTCTATGAAATCAATAAGAATATATTTTATAGCCTGAACCGGTTTGGCTCAGTGGATGGAGCGTCGGCCTGTGGACTGAAAGGTCCCTGGTTCGATTCTGGTCAAGGGCACGTACCTTGGTTGCAGGCACATCCCCATTAAGGGGTGTGCAGGAGGCAGCTGATCAATGTCTCTCATTGATGTTTCTAAATCTCTCTCTCTCTCTCTGTAAAAACTCAATTAAAAAAAAAATATATATATATATATTAAAAGCATATATTTTATATAAATATTAGAGGCCCAGTGCACGAATTCATGCACAGGTTGGGTCTGGCTGGCCTGCCCCCATCAGAGCTGATTGGGCCAGCTGAGGGGCCGCGAGGTTGGTGGGCTGGCCCTGCCCTCCCCCCTCCCCCCCGTCAAACTCCCAGTTGAGGGGACAATTTGCATATTAGCCTTTTATTATATAGGAGATATATATTTATTTATTTATTTATTTATTTATTTATTTTTGTTTTGTTTTGTTTTGTTTTGTTTTAAGACTTCAGGCCTCTGCTTCCTCCCCTCTACCCAGACCCTGCTACTTCCAGGCTGGGCTCCTCCCTGCTTCCTACCTGGAAATCCTCAAGCGTCATCTGCCAGAGGAAGGGCTGCGTGTCCGGCACAAGGATGCTGCCCTGGCTGCTAAGGCTGCTGACGTACTGGCAGTGGAAGGAGTAGATGCTGGGCCCTGTGATCTGGGAGACGTTGAAGTAGGCCACAGAGCCGTTGCTGTGGATTTCCAGGCGCTCCATGGTAAACCAGTGCCGGGCCGACACTGGATAGAAGCGATTCACCAGAGTGAACCTGGGGGAGACCACAGGGGCGTCAGGTAGCTGAGGAAGCCAGAGCCACACCAGTCCACCCACACCTCCACCGCCCCTCGGACTCACTTAAACGTCACCGTGGCACCAAAGAGTTGTTCATAGGTCAGCGAAAGCCTGTAGGGCCAGAGTGAGAGGCAAGTCAGGCCCTGAAAAGGCCTTGAGCATCTTAGACCACGTTGCTCAAGTCTGCTCCTACGGAAGCTGCCTGGGTCCTTGCAGCCACCTGAAGAGGCAATGCCCCCATTTGACAGATGGGAAAACTGAGGCCCTGTCATATTCTAGGTCAGGAACCAGCATGCGGGTCCCCCACCTCCAGCTGAGGGCTCCTTCCTCTGGCTCCCCTGAACCCACTGCCCCTCCTCCTTTAAGACCCTCCCCTTGGGGTTGTTGAGGTGCCCAGGTTGGGTTTTGGGAGTGAGGGTGATCTCTCTCACTGCACAGGGAAGGAATGGGGACCCCAGAACTTGCTCGGGCATGGTATGCACCATAGTGCAGTCGCCTTGAGGCCGCTCAAGGGGGAGGTGTCAGGTTCCTAGCTGACTGGGGAGTAGTAACAGCCAAGGTCCCAGTCAAGGACTAGAAGGCATGGGGGAGCAGAACTCTGGGCAACCCCCACTTCAAGGGCCCTCCAATAGCAACCCCCCCCCCCAAGCAGTCCCATGGTGAACACACACCACTGGCACATATACCCACCCCAAGTGACGCATCCTTTGCCCTCACCTGGCGATGGAGTCATTCCAGAAGGAGCCGGTCATATTCAGAGATGGGGCGTCAAAGGTCCTGCCGGTCAGGTCTTCCCAGCTGTCCCTATAAGCCACTGAGAAGTTCTGGGCCCAGAACAGGATCCGGGGCGCAGTGTCGTTATAGCTCACAGGGGGGTGGACCACAACGGACACGGGCTGTTTGGGCGTCGTTTGCAGCAGCTGCCGGCCTAGCCCCCCGGCCACCAGGGCTGCATCGCGGGCCACCTGCAGAGACAGCCCACAAGCCTTCTCTCAGCGGCCCTGGGAGCGGGCCCGGACCAAGTGGCCTGCCCTCGCTGGCCCTCTCCCCCATCTGTGGTCCCACCGGTCGTACTCAGAGGCCTTTCCTCCGGGAAGCTCTCTCTGGCTGGCCCCTAAACCTCGGGGATGGTCCTAGTCCCACCAATTAGGGAACATCTGGACTCAGTTGAGCATTTGCCAGCAGGAAGACTGGCAGGGCGTTCAGAAACCTGCAGCTGGCAGGAATAAGCAGGTTTGTATTCGTCCCCCCTGACATGGGCCCAGGGGAGAAGCTGGCCCCCACTGAGGCCATCGGAGCCACACCCCCCTCCAGGCCCTTGCACCACGTGGCCTCTGCCCGCACCTCCCAGGGCCCCTGCGGCAAGGCACGTACCCTGGAAGGGCGGACCGCTGTGAGCGCCGCTGTGTACGGGACATCTTCCGACTTGAGCATGCTCAGCACCTGCCCGATGACCTCATCTGAGGGGCAACGGGAAGAGCAGAGAACCGGTCACAGGTGGACACCGAGAGCAACGCTTCCCACCGCCTGCCCTTGCACACCCCACATCAGTGCCCTCCTCATGGAGCTCAGGGAGACCCTCTCACCGAGGTGGCGACCCCCAGGGGTCTGCACTGTGATGTCCTCCTGCCCCCAGAAACCAACTGAGACCCCTGATGAGTCAGTCGGCTCCCGTCAGTAGTGTTTGCAGTTTCCATTCAGGGTCCCTGACAGCAGCTGCTGTTCATCCTGCCCACCCCCAGCCTCCCCTGGGCCACCTGCGGCCTCCACTGTCAGCTCCCTGATGCCCAGGCCTAACTAAAGGGAACAAGAAAACACAAAGGTATATGCAACTTCGAACCCACCCAGTGGAAGGTTTCCAGTGACCTTGCCAATGGGAATGACTGTCGGTTATCGCAAAAAGAAGACAAGTGATGCCTGGCCAGTGTGGCTCAGTGGTTGGGCATCGACCTAGGAACCAGGAAGTCAGGGTTCGATTCCCGGTCAGGGCATGTGCCTGGGTTGCAGGCTAGATCTCCAGTGTGGGGCGTACAGGAGGCAGCTGATCAATGATTCGCTCTCATCACTGATGTTTCTGTCTCTCTCTCCCTTCCGCTCTGAAATCAATACAGAAAGATTAAAAAAGAAGAAGACAAGTGTTCGGAACTGATTTTTGAAATGCTGCTGGTCTCTTAAACCCACACTAAAGGATTCAGGCTGCCTCCGTGGAAACTGGCTCCCAGGCTCCTGCAGAGAGGACGCTTACACATCCCCAAATCTCCACGAGGCAGGCCCAGCGGATGAGGCCCGAGGGCCAGCATTTCCCTGATCAGCTGCCAGCTGCTCCAAGAAGCAGGAAGCCATGCTGGGGGGGGGGGGGAGGAGCCAAGGAGCGGAGGACCACTCTGCAGGGAGGGCTGGGGAGGACTGGAGAACGTGCTCCCTCCCTGACCCACTCACCGTTGCCTGTGAGGACTTCCCGTGGTGCCATCAGACCCGAGCTACGGAAAAGACAGAGCGTTAGAGCCCCACAGTCCAAATAGCTCCCCCAGTGTGTCCTCCCCAGTGTGTCCCCCAGCATCCTCCCCCATGAGCCCCATGAGCCTAGCACTCCGCCTCCCCCTCCATATCTTTTGTGTGTTTTTTAATATATATACTTTTATTGATTTCAGAGAGGAAGGAAGAGGGAGAGAGAGAAACATCAATGATGAGAGAGGATCATTGAACAGCTGCCTACAGTACATCCCCACACTGGGGACGGAGCCCGCAACCTGGGCGTGTGCCCTGACCAGGAATGGAACTGTGACCTCCTGGTTCAGAGGTCGACGCTCCACCACTGAGCCACACCAGCTGGGATCCCTCTACATTTTTGCTCACCTCAAGGCCCTGCCTGGAATCCCTTGCCCCTCCCTGCAGCCCCCACTTCACGGTCCCTCTGGAGGCCCAGTTCAGTGCAGGGCACTAACTTATGAATCACAGCCCGGCCAGAGGCCCTTCCGGTCTCTTCTGGAGATACAGGGCGCCTTCCGGAAGGGCTTCAGGGTTCTGACCGGAAGGACTGTCATCGTTGACTGGGTTGTGCTAGCAGAGCCCAGAGCCCTGGGCTGGAGGCCGGGCCGTACCTGGCTGTGTAGGGCAAGCGGATGAGCAGCAGGGCCGGGAGGCTGGCATTGAGCTTCAGCTCCCGAAGGGTCGCCAGGTCCACGTGCAAGGGGCTGGCCCCCAGCTTCTCCTGCAGGTACGTGGTCAGAGTGCTCACTGCATACCAGTCAACAGCAGGAAGCACGAGAGAGGACGGGGCCAAGTCCAGGGCATTCTGGGGACAAAGGAGACGTGGAGGATGAGTTAGCAAAAGGGACCTGGCCTGAGCCAGCCCCTCACACTGCGCTGGCAGCCCTCCCCTGCAAGCCGTACCCACACCCACAGGATTGAGTCTCATTCAGGGTCAGAAGGAAAATGCCCCGCACCCCTGGCCCCTGACACTTACGCCTTTCTACCCCCAAAGCCAGCAGCTCTGGTTCCTAAGGAAACAGGTTGTGTGTGTGCTTTTGTATTTTGTTTTTTGCTTACCCCTCACCCGAGAATATTTTTCCATTGACTTTTAGAGAGTGGAAAGGATTGGGAGAGACAGAGAGAAACATCAATGGGAGAGATACACATAGATTGGTTGCCTCCCGCATGGGTCAGGGATTGAACCTGCAACCAAGTTACGTGCCCTTGACTAGAATCGAACCCAGGACCCTTCAGTCCATGGACGGGTACTTTATCCATTGAGCCAAACCAGTTAGGATTTAAAAAATTTTTTTTACTCTTTTTTTTTAATCCTCACCTGAAGAGTGAGGATATTTTTTTCCATTGATTATTAGAGAGAATGGAAGGGAGAGAGTAGGGATGGAGAGAAAGAGAGATGTAGAAAGAGACACATCAATTGGTTGCTTCCCGCACACACCCTGATGGGGTGGGGATTGAACCTGCAACCAGGTTACATGCTCTTAACTGGGAACCGAACCTGCAACCCTCTGGTGTGCAGGCTGACACTCTAGCCACTGAGCCATGCCAGCCAGGGCTGTTTTTGTTTGTTTTATTTTTAGAGAGAGAGGAATAGAGAGATAGAAACATCAATTAGAGAGGGTCACTGATCAGCTGCCTCGAGCACGCCCCACACTGAGGTTCGGGAAAGTTCTTTAGTGTGCTATGGGGTGGGGGTGGGACAGCCCCCGTGCCCGCAGCTGGGAGAGGACTCTTACCTCCAGGTTAGAAAAGGTGCTGTCCTGCTTGTTTCCAAACACACCACCATATGCCGTGAAGTCCTCAATGCTCAGCTAGTAGGGAAGCAAGGAAGACAGCCTCAGAAGTGGCCAGGGCAGGGGCAGACCCCTTCTCCGTGCATTTGCAGGGCCAGCAAAATCTCACTTAGAGTCAGATTTGGTCTGGTCAGAAAAGCAAGCAAGGGCAAGTTTGGGGTGAGGGATGGGGATAGAAGGTTCTTTGATATATTAGAGGCCCAGTGCACAAAATTCGTGCACTTGGTGGGAGTCGCTCAGTCCAGCCTGGGCCCTCTCAGTCTGGGAGACCTTGGGGGATGTCCGACTGCCAGCTTAGGCCCGCTCCCCACAGCGATCGAAGTGCGAGCGTCTCGCGTGGAAGGGCAGGTCTCACTGATGTCTGGGCCCTGGGCAGCACCTGGGCCCTCAGGCCCCTATGTGCCCTCCTCTGCCTAAGTCACAGTGCTCAAGTCCCCACACAAAGATGCCATGGGCCAGGGCACAGCATGGGCCTCTCACGGAAGCCAAGCAGGCAGTGCACTCTCTCCCAGCTGGCCTCGCAGACCGGTTCCTATGCGAACCCATGGGGATCCCAACAGGCCCCTGTGGTCCCAGTGGCTGCAGCCCAGCTCACCCGGAAGAGGCTGCACAGGTGTAGAGCAGGCTCCTCATGGGTGCCCGGCACCTGGGGCGTGCGAGTCCTGGCATCCACGGAGTGAAAGCCAGCTCAGCGGATACCCTGCATTCTCACCATACCTCCTCTGTCCCTGTTACCCCCCCCACCAACACCAGCCATGTTCTGTGCTGCCCCCTGGTGGTCAGCACACATCACAGTGAGCAGTCCAACTCCCAGTATCCTGGTCCAACTCCTGGTCTAATGACTATCCAAGGGGGCAATTTGCATATTAGGCTTTTATTATATAGGAGATATATATATGTATATTTTTTATTCTCAACTGAGGATATTTTTCCATTGAGGTTTTTTTAAAAATATATTTTATTGATTTCAGAGAAGAAGGGAGAGGAAGAGAGAGATAGAAACACCAATGATGAGAGAATCACTGATCAGCTGCCTCCTGCACACCCCCTACTGGGGATGGAGCCTGCAACCAGGGCATGTGTCCTTGCCAGGAATGGAACTTGGGACCCTTTAGTGGGCAGGCCAATGCTCTATCAACTAGGACGAGTTTTGTGTGTATGTGTTTTTTTGAGTGTGTGTTTTTTTAAATATATTTTATTGATTTTTTACAGAGAGGAAGAGAGAGGGATAGAGAGTTAGAAACATCGATGAGGGAGAATCATCTATTATCTACCCCTTGCATAACCCCTACTGGGGATGTGCCCGCAACCAAGGTACATGCCCTTAGCCGGAATCGAACCTGGGACCTTTCAGTCCGCAGACCGACGCTCTATCCATTGAGCCAAACCGGTTTCGGCAAGTTTTGTATGTTTTTTTAAAGAGAGTGAAAGAGAGAGGAAAAGACAGAGAGAAACATCGATGTGTGAGAAACATATCAATTGGTTGCCTCCTATGTTCACCCGGACCTAGACCTGGCCCGGGGAGTAGCCTGCAACCATACTACGTGCCCTTGACCAAAATCGAACATGGGACCCTTCAGTCCACAGGCTGACACTCTATCCACCGAGCCCATCCGGTTATAGGGCTCTAGAAGAAGTTTAAGTTTTAAAAATATGGCTCTCAAAAGAAATTTCAGCTGAGACCGGTTTGACTCAGTGGATAGAGCGTCGGCCTGCGGACTGAAGGGTCCTGGGTTCGATTCCGGTCAAGGGCATGTACCTTGGTTGCGGGCACATCCCCAGAAGGGGGTGTGCAAGAGGCAGCTGGTCGATGATTCTCTCTCATTGATGTTTCTAACTCTATCCCTCTCTCTTCCTCTCTGTAAAAAATTAATAAAATATATATTTTAAAAAAAGAAATTTCAATCGTACTGTTGATATTTGGCTCTGTTACTAATGAGTTTGCCGACAAGTGGGATAGGGCTCTTTCTTTTCTGTAGCTCCCTCCTGGCAGGGTGAGGGTGAGAAAACATGGAAGGCAGTCATGGGACTGGGAGTGTATGTGTGGGCAGCTGACTTGTGGTAACTTCAGGAGTAAGAGTCAGCTGCCTGCCTTCGACAACAGGAACTGGGTAAGGAAAAGGGAAGCTAGGGGAGGGGTTGTGGCAGTTAGAAGCATTTACTGCATGCCCACCCCCCTCAAGGAAAGTAAAAAAAAAAAAAAGGAGAACCTGCAAACCAGTTGCAACAGCTAGAACCAACAGGACTTTTTTAAAACATATTTTTCATTTCACAGAGGAAGGGAGAGGGAGAAAGAGAGAAACATCAATGATGAGAATCATCGATCGGCTGCCTCCTGCACACCCCCGCATTGGGAATCGAGCCCACAACCTGGGCAAGTGCCCTGACCAGCAATCGAACCATGACCTCTTGGCTCGTAGGTGGATGCTCACCCATTGAGCCATACTGGCTGGGCATGGATGGCACCTTTGTAAAGGAGTCTGAGAAGTCCCCCTCCTCTCCTGGTTTTGGTGGAAGGGGAAGGGGAGAAACAGGTGAAGATCTCAAACATGCTGGAGAAAGCACTGAAAGTCTTCTGAGGCCTCCAGACCACAGTAACTGGAAGCACACCCCTTTCCTCTCCAACCTAGAGATGCCCTTCAACTCCTTCCCCTCCACCCCACCGCCCGCCCAGCTTTCTCCGGCTTTTCCCCATCAGGGCCGGAGGCGATCTTAATCAGCTTCTGTTTAGTATACACACTTGGCCAGCTTCCTCTCCCTTCTGGGCAGGAATCCTGACCTTTGTTTGGACACCTGGGCTCTCCTTCGCAAAGCCCAGAAACCACCACTCTCTCTTCCTCCTCGCGGCACCTCCTGCTTTGAAGTCACCCGAGGCTTCATTTAGAATAAGGTGATCGGGCGTCCCGCTTTTGGCGGGACAGTCCCGATTTTTGGAAAGAATCTTTGTTTAAAAATCGGGACTGTCCTGCCAAAAGCGGGACGTCTGGTCACCTTCGTTTAGAACTGCAACTAACCTTTTTCCTCCTCATCTCCTGGCTGCCTGCCTAACCATCCTCTCGCCCTTAATCTCACTCACTACTGTCTACTCCAGCGACAGCAGCTCTTCCGTCTTGCCCAGGGCCTTAGCACATGCTGTACCTTCTTCCAGAAACATCCTCCACGGGATAGCTCCCTGGCTCAGTAGGGACCTCCATTCAGGTCTCTGCTCAGTGAGCCTTGCCTGGTCAGCTTTCCCTTAAATAGGCTTGCCAGTCCCTCTGGCAATGATTGGCTGCATTTGTGCGCACCACAATAGGGTTAGCCCGTTTCTTTCTTCTCTACACACAATAGCACTGACATGATGGCATATTGTAAGAACTCAGCATTGACTTGTCATGCTCCCATGACTATCAGCTTCCTCAGGGTAGGGGCTAGGGTTATTCTGCTCGTTGCTATGTCCCCAACACTTAATAACTGGCACAGAGTAGAATCAGGGGTCCTCAAACTTTTTAAAGTGGGGGCCAGATCACGGTCCCTCAGAGAGCTGGAGGGCCGGACTATATGAACTACTAATTCCTACTGTAACACCTCGGCTGCGCTCACTGCCCAAAAAAACCTGGCGGGCCGGATCAGACTCCTCTGTGGGCCGCATGTGGCCCGCGGGCTGTAGTTTGAAGACGCCTGGACGATAGTTCATATTTGCTACATGGGTGAATGCCATCAGACAGGGATCCAGCGAGGCGTGTTCCATGGATTTTCTGAATTGCTCCTCACGATTCTTCTGAGGCAGTATCTGAATTTTACCGATGCAGAAACAGGCATTTGCAGACCAAAGGCCAGGTAGTAGAACTAGAATTGAGTTCCAGTCTGACTACATTAGTTACCGCCTCCTGGAAGGGCTACAGGAGCGCATGCCCGCCACAGGCTACCCACAATGATGGAGCAAGACCATGAGAGGAATGAACCATACAAGGAAGGGACAAGCAGAAGCTCAATCGCTTCCCAAACGCCAAACCTACAGTGCCCTCGAGTCTTTTCATGGGCTGAGTGCCTAGTTGGAGGCAGAGAGATCTGGAAGGGAGGGAGCACAAACCCAATTATGAGCACAAACTGGCCTGGGGCAGGAGGGAGAGCGCAGGTAGGGTCTGACAGACTCAGGCTGGAACCAACTGTGGTGTGCACAACCCAGCCAATCACTGCACCTCCGCAAGCCTTAGTTTCCTTGGTAGTAAAACCAAGACAATGACATCAGCTCAGCACAGTGCCCATGAAGCACTCAGTAAGTGGTCATTTTTTTTCTCTCTCTCTATTATGATCATTACCACTAGAATCACAACTCAGCCACCCATTAGCTGTGTGACCTTGAGCCAGTCACTTCCCCTCCTTGGGCATCTGTCTTCTCATCCGCCAACAATCAGCCCCACCATATAGAGCAGGTCAGACAAGTTCATGGTACTCTGTAGACTTCCGGCCTCTGACCACTTTCTCCCCCTAATCAAGCTGGTGCCATTTCTGGGCCCTCACTCTAGTTCCACTGAGCCTTCTCCGACGGGCCTTCCCAAGAGAAGAGCCACACCTCCCTGCAGTTGGGACAAGGTCACTGAAGCTTCCCTTGGGGAAGGGGTCTCCTTATCCTGGGGGGAGGGGCCCGCCTGCCTCCTGATGACTGAGGGACAGAGGGCTGGGACTGGCGCACCTTGTCCTGCAGGAACAGCAGCACGTTGCGGGGGCCCAGCTCCAGGGCGGGGTCTAAGTAAGTCGAGAGCTGCATGTCGCTGGTGATGTGGCCCTCATGGGTGTCGGCCGCAGGAACCCACAAGTCCCTGTGGACAGAAAAGGTGCTGTCAAGTGGGGACGCAAGGCTTACGATCCGAAACCCACGGGCTCCCAGTTTGATGTGTGGGTCCCGGAGGTTCCGATCCGGCCGATTCGCCGTAGGCCGCCAAGCAAGGGACAGTCCCCTCTAGGCCTCGCAGCTTCTCGCCGAGAACAGCCCAGGAGCAGAGCGAGGGCACCCCAACCGCCACCGGGCGCCGCACAGCCCGCCCCAACCCACCGCCGCGCTCACCGATCGCTTGACCACAGCACCAGCGGCACCTGCTGCTCCGCCACCGCCGCCGCCGCCGCCGCCAGCAGCACCGGCAGCCACTTCATTTGACAAAACGCTGGGGCCCTGAGCGTCCCCGCCTGCCCCGGAGCCGCCGCTGTCGCCGCCATCACAGCTTCAGTCACCACGGCCTCGGCCACCGCCGCCGCCGCCGCAGATCAGGTGATCGTCGCCCCCGCCCGGGCTCCGCCCCCGCGCGCCCATTGGCCAGGACGCAGGCCAGGGGCCAGGGCTTCAGAAGATTGAAGGAAGCGCATGCCACTCACAGCCGCTCCTGTGCGCTGATTGGCCAATCGCTTCTCCGGCGCGCACGCTCCTTGCGGGGCTGGGACAGCCTGGAGGAGCTCTGTCAGTTTCACTGCCACCCAGTAGGTACAGCTGGCACTGACAGGATAGGACAGGCTGGGCGAGGCGGGCTCCGCTCCACAGGTCCCCACGCCCAAGGCTTGGCCCAGGTTTCATCTTCTGCTTCAAATTGCAAGCGGCAGTGGAGACCAGGGAGAGTGGGGTGCCTGGGGGGCTGGGAGAAGGGGCTGGGGGCGCCGCGCCCCTTCCCCATACTTTGCCCTGTGCATCCCTTCCATCAGGCCGTTCCTGAGTTGTGCAAGAGGGGCGATGCCAGCCATTCAGATGTGCCGGAGAGAAGCCTTGAGATACTTTCTTTGAGGGAAACGCAACAATGTAGCAGAGCTGTTGGAATGATCTGCGCGCACGGGAGTTCCAAAAGTTGCTAAAAAGTGGCAACTGTACTAGTATTAGTACACATTCAAACTTTCCTTCTGCACCGCAAGAGTGATACAAGCTTTGTCTGCAGAGGACAGGGGATAACATTAAAAAGGAAAAGCTCTGCCCTAGCTGGTTTGGCTCAGTGGATAGAGCATCGGCCTGTAGACTGAAAGGTCCCAGGTTTGACTCTAGTCAAGGACACAGGCCTGGGTTTTAGGCTCGACCCCCAGTGCGGGGCATGCAGGAGGCACCCGATCAATGATTCTTTCTCGTCATTGATGTTTCTATCGCTCCCTCTGTGAAATCAATAAAAATATATTAAAAAAAAAAAAAGAAAAAGAAAAAGGAAAGGAAAGGAAAAGCTCTCTTGGCTGCTCACCTGCAGCCGGGAGTACAAGGGTCCCAGACAACTGTAGTCCGCACTGCTTCCCTCGCCATCTCCTCAGCTCTCAGCCCTGGAAGCGCACATGCCGAAGGTCCTGTGGGGCTGGCCACCCAGAGCCACTCCGGCCACTCAAAGACACTCTGGCTCAAACTGTGCACAGGAGTGTGGTGCGTTCCAGCGGGAGAGGGCCTCTCCAGCTCCCAGTTCCAGCGGTGCCTGCCCGGCAGCCTGGGTGCCCGCCCATCAACCACAGCTTGCTTGCTCTCCAAAGAGTTGTTTCTGCAGGTCTGGTGACTGTGTGAAAGAGTCATTGAACTTCTATACCAACCAAAGGTCTGGAAGTACATTTTTAAAAATATATATTTTATTGATTTTTTACAGAGAGGAAGAGAGAGGGATAGAGAGCTAGAAACGACGATGAGAGAGAAACATCGACCAGCTGCCTCCTGCACACCCCCCACCAGGGATGTGCCCACAACCAACGTACATGCCCTTGACCGGAATCGAACCCGGGACCCCCCAGTCCGCAGGCCGATGCTCTACCGCTGAGCCAAACCGGTTTTGGCTGGAAGTACATTTTTTAAAAATATTTTTTAATTGATTTTTTTTTTTTACAGAGAGGAAGGGAGAGAGTTAGAAACATCAATGAGAGAGAAACATCAATCAGCTGCCCTTGGTACATGCCCTTGACCGGAATAGAACCTGGGACCTTTGAGTCCGCAGGCAGGCGCTCTATCCACTGAGCCAAACTGGTTAGGGCTGGAAGTACATTTTAAAATATATTTATATTGATTTCAGAGAGGGAGAGGGAGAGAGAAACATCAATGATGAGAGAGAATCTCATTGATTGACTGCCTCCTGCATGTAACCAAGATATGTGCCCTTGCCGAAAGCAGTTTGGCTCAGTGGTAGAGCGTCAGTCTGTGGACTGAAAGGTCCCGGGTTCGATTCCGGTCAAGGGCATGTATGTTGGTTGCGGGCACATCCCCGGTGGGGGGTGTGCAGGAGGCGGCTGGTCGATGTTTCTCTCTCATCGACGTTTCTGGCTCTCTATCTCTCTCCCTTCCTCTCTGTAAAAAATCAATAAAATATATATTTTTTAAAAAAAAGATATCTGCCCTTGACCGGAATTGAACCCAGAACCCTTCAGTTCGTAGGCCAGCACTCTATTCACCAGAACAAACCAGCTAGGGCTTTTTTTTTTTTTTAAATCCTCGTCTAAGGCTATTTTTTCATTGATTTTTATAGGGAAGGGGAGAGACAGAGAAAGAAAAACATCGATGTGAGAGACGCATCTCAGTTGGTTGCCTCTGGCAACCAGGCCTAGGATGGGGGTCAAGCCTTGCACCCAAATTACGTGCCCTTGACCAGAATCAAATCTGGGACCCTTCAGTCTGCAGGCTGACGCTCTATCCACTGAGCCACACCGGCTACGGCTAGGGCTAGGGCCTTCTTAGCAAAGAAAATTGATAAGCTATGATAAATATAAGCCTCCCTTCCTGGACACTTTCCAAAATCATTAAAAATTCCCTTCATCTTTCTAGAGATTTGCTTTTAGCTTACATTTATGGTAATAAACCTAGAGATGCTTGCCCCCTCCCTGGGGAGGATTTGCTTAATTCCAGAGTAAAGATGAGGTGTGTGTGCATATATATCTTGGATGGCAGATGTGCCAGAAATGCTTCATGAGCTCTCAGTGTCATAATTTCAGGGCTCGTCTCCTGGGGGCATCCCTGCTACTTGGGCAGGGTTACCAGCACTAAAATGTTCTCTGAGTAATAAAGTCTGTTCTAGGAAAAAAAAAAAATTGCAGCCGAAACTGGTTTGGCTCAGTGGATAGAGCTTCAGCCTGTGGACTGAAAGGTCCCAGGATTGATTCTGGTCAGGGGCATGTACCTTGGTTGCGGGCACATTTCCAGTAGGGGGTGTGCAAGAGGCAGCTGATCGATGACTCTCTCTCATCGATGTTTCTAACTCTCTATCTCTCTCCCTTCCTCTCTGTTCAAAATCAATAAAATATATATATATAAAAAAAGAGGCAACTATAATCGTGTTGCATTCATTTCCCTTATGCGTAGGCGCACCATTTCTCTCCACACATACCAGCAGCAAATAGTTAAGCAGCCCATGGCCACGTCATTAGTCTTGGACTGACTTGTTTGGCGTGCACAACAGGAAATATTTCGCTTTCGGAGAACAAGAAAAATAGGTTTATTTGTGTGACATTATTTAATTTGTGCAGTTATTCAGTGTCTGGTAAGTGAATGTTCAAGAAAAAATATTAATTTTTATTAAAATGTTCTGATATTTTTTTAATATATTTTATTTATTTTTCACAGAGAGGAAGGGAGAGAGATAGAGAGCTAGAAATGTCGATGAGAGAGAGTCATTGATCAGCTGCCTCTTGCACACCCCTTACTGGGGATATGCCCGCAACCAAGGTACATGCCCTTGACCGGAATCGAACCCGGCACCCTTCAGTCCCCAAGCCGAAGCTCTACCCATTGAGCCAAACTGGTTTCAGCAAAATGTTCTGATATTTTATGTCAGTGATGACTCATTTATTTCAGCCCTTTGTATTCAGCATGTCTCTATCAAAACAAACCTACGTTTCTATGAAAATGGAAGCTTTTGTGTGTGTGTTTTTTGTGGCCCGCATACACTTCAACTTTGTTTATTTGACCCAGGTTAGCCTTCGAGTTTGACATGCTCCATGTACAATGAGCAGGGAGGAAGGTCCAGAAGAGAAATGGGAGAAGCATCAAAGAGGAGGGGAAAACCCAGGGAGAAGCTTGGTTTCAAGGACTCTATGATGAACAAAGTCAGTGTCCACTGCTGCCAGGAAGCAGGTAAGATGAGGATAGAAAACTTCCGTGGGGCTGGCCATCATGACTCAGTGATGTAGCTTTGACCTATGAACCAGGAGGTCACGGTTCGATTCCGGGTCAAGGCACATGCCTGGGTCTCGAGGAGGGACCATATAGGAGGAAGCCAATTGATGATTCTCTCATCATTGATGTTCCTATCTCTCCCTCCCTCTTCCTCTCTGAAATCAGTAAAGAAAATATATTTTTAAAAGAAAGTAAATTCTTAAAAAAATAAAATTAAAAATAAAATCATGCAAAACAAAATTATGGAAATTAGTATGTCGTTGAGACATAAGATGAAAATATGCAACATGCTATCACAGCATATGTTACACTTGCACGTATACATGCATACTGACCAACTGTCTGTTTTTACCTATATTTATTTACAAGTGTTTTTTGGGTTTTTTTTACACTGAAGTGATTTTTCCCCCCTTCTGGTAATTTAAAAAGCTTTTTGTTTAAAACTACACAGTTGCAGTTCTGACCGTCTTTAAATCTTCTCTTCTTGCCCTAACCAGTTTGGCTCAGTGGATAGAGCATCCACCTTCGGACTGAAGGGTCCCAGGTTTGATTCTGGTCAAGTGCCCACAACCAAGGTACATGCCCTTGACTGGAATCAAGCCTGGGACCCTTCATTCTGCAGGCCGACGCTCTATCCACTGAGTCAAACCAGCTAGGGCAGAGCTTGCTTTTCTCTAGAGAGGATTTGCTTTCTGCTTCTGCCAGGAGCGCCACCACCCTGGATCGGCTATTCCCACCCATGGTCCCAACCTCTCTCTTTTATTTATTTATTTTAAAAAATATATATATTTTATTGATTTTTTACAGAGAGGAAGAGAGAGGGATAGAGAGTTAGAAACATCAATAAGAATCATCGATCAGCTGCCTCTTGCACACCCCCTACTGGGGATGTGCCTGCAACCAAGGTACATGCCCTTGACCGGAACCGAACCCAGGACCTTTCAGTCCGCAGGCTGGCGCTCTATCCACTGAGCCAAACAGGTCTCGGCCCAACCTCTCTCTTTAAAAAAAAAATAATAATAATATATATATATTTTTTTAATATATTCTTATTGATTTCAGAGAGGGGAGGACTGGGCTGCTCCTTGCTTCTCCCTACTTTGCTATGGGCTTTGAAGCAACTCGCTCAGCCTTGCTCCGCCTCCTTTGCAAAAGGAGATTAATTCCTACTTCCA